AATATTTATCAATTTTACATAATTTTATCTTTGGTGGGTAAAAATTATTTTTAAAAATTCAAAAATATTTTTTTGACATTTATTTTTATCAAACTAGTTTACATTTTGTTAAATTAACTACTTTACCTTTGAAATTAAACAATGGTATTTTCAATTATTCTTATTCGGAACAAGATTCAAAATTCAGAATTAAATATGTCACAATTAAAAAATTAAGAATCAAAGTAACACAAGTCCCAAATTATGAGACTTGTTAGTATAATTCACCCCTATATATATTTTCAATCCTAATTTACCCTACATCATTAGGAGAAATCTCAAATTGTTTTCAAAACTCTCGATCACATGTTTCGAGATTTTTGTTAAGTGGAAGAGTTCACGATTAATCACACAAATAATTGAGCGCATACGTGTATCATGCTCTCAATTTTTTCTTTTTGTTTATTCTAATAATTTTGTCTTAGACTAGCTTTAACTTGTAGAAAGGTTCATGAACATGTAATGCAATTCTAAAAGAATTTGAATTTTACATGCTGGGTTTGGCTTAGATTTATCAATTTTACATAATTTTATCCTTGGTGGGTAGAAATTATTTTTAAAAATTTAAAAATATTTTTTTGACATTTATTTTTATCAAACTAGTTTATATTTGTTAAATTGACTACTTTACCCTTGAAATTAAGTAATGGTATTTTCAATTATTCTTATTTGAAACAAGATTCAAAATTCAGAGTCAAATATGTCACAATTAAAAAATTAAGAATCAAATTAACACAAGTCCCAAACTATGAGAATTGTTAGTATAATTGACCCCAATATATATTTTCAATACTAATTTACCCTACATCATTAGGAGAAATCTCAAATTGTTTTCAAAACTCTCGATCACATGTTTCGAGATTTTTGTTAAGTGGAAGAGTTCACGATTAATCACACAAATAATTGAGCGCATACGTGTATCATGCTCTCAATTTTTTCTTTTTGTTTATTCTAATAATTTTGTCTTAGACTAGCTTTAACTTGTAGAAAGGTTCATGAACATGTAATGCAATTCTAAAAGAATTTGAATTTTACATGCTGGGTTTGGCTTAGGCCGTCCAAATTTTAATAGACGTATCAAGTTGTGCCAGCTATGCATCGTTGGTTGGAGTTTTGGTAAACGTCCTTGTACAGGTCACCAATCCCTCTCACAATATAATCAAGTTACAAGTACGTTTTTATATATGAAGATTTTCAATTTAAAACTCATCATATTGCACACTTTACCTTGAAGGAGTTATTATGTGTTTCTAGGGCAATAGCCATCACAGTCACACGAACACATAACCCAACCCAGCCCAAAATATGCATGCCCGAGGTGTTGGGGGCAATACCCACTAAAACATATAAAGATTTTAAGAATAAATTTTGAACAAATTTTACTTTACCTCCTTGTGATTTGGGTCATGTGTAGTTTACTCCTACAATGTTTAAAAATGACCATATAACTTTCAAGTGGTTTGTGAACTAAAATGCACACTAAGGTCTCGTTTGGCATGCAACGGTTTTAGCCTAAATGTCAAAAAATTACTAAAAAAATCAAAAAGTTTATAACTTATACAAAAAAGTCAAAGATCCCATTTTCCTCATACTTTTTGCACATCTTTTCATAAAAAATCACAAAATCATTCCAAACATATTAGTTTTTCTTACCTCATATTTTAGCTAAAAAGTAAAAAAGTTTCTAAAATAGCATGTTCCCAAATGAAGCCTAACTTTTGTTAATAGAATTTGTGCATTGACCTTTATACCCTCTTCTTTTTCCTTTCTACCCTCATCTTCATCACCAGCCATCCATCTTCTCTAACATTGATCAACCACTCATTTTTCCTCCCACTTAGACTATTGTCGTCACCCCTCTCCCATCCCCAATCATCGTTGTCATCTCCCTTTCCAATACCCAACCATCCCCGCAGCCTCCTTTTTCATCCTGACCGTTGCCATCGCTTCCTCTTCTATCCCCAACCATCACCGTCACTTCCTCTACCATTCCCGACCATTGCCGCCGGCCCACCTCTTATTCTTGAATTTGTTATATTAAACCTATATATATATATATATATATATATATATATGTACATACACAAAATAGTGGCAAGCAATCATATATAGGACTTTCTAGTTCAAAAAAAGAAAAAAAAAATAATTGTTTGTGGTGGTGGGTTTGATTTCTTTGTATAATTTTTGTTTATGGTTTGTGGGTTTGATTACCTTCTGTCTTACTCCCAATTGTCTGTGTCTCATCTCATTTATTGGCCATTGTTGCAAGTTCTGTTAAAAGAGAGAAGATGAAGATGAAAAGAAGAAGAGAAAGATATAGAGAGAAAAACAATAGAAAAATGAGAGAAATGACATTTTATGTAAATTCAAAGATATAGAGATGATATTTTCGTCTTTAAAATTGTCCTACTCTCTCTAGGAGCGTATGACTCTCACATTCTGTCATCTTTAACAGAAAATTAACGGTGCATTTTAGTCCATAAATTAGGTGGAGGTTATGTGGTTATTTCCAAAAGTTAGAGAGGTAAACCGCACATGGCTCAAATTACATGGGTTAAAGTGAAGTTTGCCATTTTATAATGATGCTAGAGAAGTTAAACAAAACAAGAAAAGAAGCTATACTTATAGACTTGGGAAGTCACATCCCTTCATCATTACTATATAACCCTTCGACTACATGTTACTAATCCCACATTTGCAAAAACAAGTTACCACAAGCACCCCCATCTTGGGAATGACAAACGACTAACTAGAAATAAATATTCAAACAACTAATATGGCTTGTCACTTCTACTGCTAGAAATTAGGTTTTTAGTGGCGTTTAAAAAACGCCGCTATATCTATAAAAAATGCCGCTAATTATTTTTGTGGCGTTTAGTACCAAACGTTGAAGATGCGGCCGTCGCCATAGCTTTATGACACTTTAAAAGCGTTGCTATATTTAGTATAAGCGGCGTTTTTAAAAACGCCGTCAAATGTCCTACCCTAACAGCATTATGACATCACTATGATTTAGCGACGTTTTCAAACGCCGTCATATCTTTTTTAAAAAACTGACCGTTAGCTTTAGAGTTTAGGTGGCATTTCTCAAAACGCCGTGATATCCTCTTTTTTTTTTTAATTTTTTTAATTTTTTTATAAAAATTGTGCTAATTTTATGTAATTGAACTAAAAAAATACCTTTAATAAAATTGAATAGCACTAATATGAAATAATAACTTCCATTCAAATAGTAAATGTAGCATTAATTCACTTTTCCATTCAATTTAATATCCAATCATCATTACCCACAAAATAACATATCCACAAATGATGTTTTAACATTACTCACAAAGTAACATATCCAAAAATTGAATTTACAATTCTTAACCAAAAAATCAAATGATTCATAAACAAATGACTTGATCCTTGTATTTTACAATAATGTTTTTATGTGTGTAAAGCACATGCTTCTTGTTACTGTTCTTGTCAGGATGCAGCTCACCAACAAAACCTATAACATTGACAAGATGATAACATAAAGCATTGAATTAAACATCTGAAAAGACTCAAAAATTAAAAATAAGTTTAATAATACAAGAAGTATAATACAAAAAAAAAAATAATAAAAAAATAAAATAAAAAATAAAATTTGTTAATACATATCCTAAAGCCGGATAACACATAAGTAAAACCAAACTACCATCAAATAACTTGTAAAGGACATAAAATGAGACCCAAATTGACCAAAAATTTGATCGGATGAGGCCCATAGGCACTAAAACCTTTACAAATTCCAAACTTTCACTTTCTAGTTTGCATTCTCTACATCATGTATCTCCCTATTCTCAGACAATGTTAGCAATCTCTCAACTTCAACAAGAGCTTTGCAATTTCAATATTTTCTAATTAGGACATTTCAAAGAATGATAACATTAAATTAAAACTCAAGATGGTATATAGCATGGAAAAAATACCAAAATCTTCAATATCTATTGATATGAAATTCTCAAAAGCAACCATTCAAGAAAATAAAAGACATCAACAAATATCAAAAACGCAATAAAAGTCAGGAAACAAAATACATACCTAAATAAATAGCCGATGGAGGCATGTGAGCATCACTGAAACTTGGGGATTCAGGCCAAATTCCTGCTTTAAGCAGTGCTTAAAATTAATTGCAATTTCATAGAGTGTGAGAGAGATATGTTGCAATTCAATATGTTTCACAACAATTTGAGAGTTGTGTGTGTGAAAAAGAACTCTACTACAATCTTAACAGTGACAAGAGAGACTGGCACACCTTTGTTAGCAAAAATAGTGACAAAGAGAGGATTAAAAAGAAAAGTAGACTAGAACGATGAGTGTTTTTTGATTAAACAAAATGACCCTATAATTTCTAAAATCATAATGAAAAGTCTCATTGTAGTTCGAAATCATAATGAAGAGTGAGGCAGGGCATTGTTAGCTCACATACTTGTGACTTCAAACAAACAAGGCATCAAAGAAAATGATAATGGGTACTCATTAAAGAATGAACAAGTGTTGTATTCAATGAGCACAGAGAGTCAGTTTGTTTTCTACTCCTAATCCTAGGAAGAGCCCAGAGGTCATGTCTCGATAATGAACTAATAAATGAACATTGTCTAATTTGTGCATACATATACAGTGATACTAATCAATGAAACCAATTGTTCTCGATAGAAAGGGAAAGACAACTAACCGGTATCAATGAAGCCGATAACGACATTAACTTGGTTCTTGGTGGAATACCCAGGGATTTCCATGGTTTTTTCTCCCAAAAGACCCATGAAATCCTATGAATGAGTCGTGCGAAGCCTCCTGCGGTTGTTTGGAAACACAGACACCACTCCAGGCATCTCTATGTTTCAATTTTTAAAACCATGACATTGATTTTTCAGAGCCATGGATATAAATCAATCAATTATGATGAGTAATGGTAAAGATAATAGTAAATACTACTATTGTATTGACATACTGGCAATTTCAGAAGCTTGATCCTCTGTCAACTTGGCTGCAAAGCCTCTGAAACCATGTCTGTAACTGTAGACATGAGATGCCCTGGCTTGTTCAACACTGTGTCATCAATTGAATGATTCAATCAGCACAACCAAACAATCCTCAATAAGAACAAGAAGAGGAACACAACAATAACATCAAACCATTAAAAAAAAAAAAGTGTGAAAACATGGTGGTGTACAGTTGAAAAAAAAGAAAAGAAAGAGAAAAAAAGGAACATTGGGTGGACCTTCCACCATGAAAATCAGTGAGGAATTGGTGGTTCTGCATCAAAATCTCATCTCGGTCATGACCATCTCTGCTTCCCATATAGACCACATAGACCTGCACACAAGACAAAGCTTGACCCAGTAACATAAATCCGAAAACAAAAAAACAAAAACAAAGAAGTTGAGTGAAAATATCATATCTATATCCACACCTTAGCAAAAAAAAAGAGCTCATTTTGCTAAACAACCTAGTCAACCAAGCAATCCCCCTTTTACCCAAGCACTTCCAAGTTTCAATAGGAATATCATTGGGTCCTAAAGCGTTATTTGATTTCATCTTCTGGGATTATTGATTAAAAAAAATTAAGTAATAGAAGGAAAGTAATCATGGTGAATGGGCCATCAAATGGAAGCCATTCCCAAATTATTTGAAGTATAGCTGGTGTTTCTCGGTTCAGAATGATTTCCCTAGGCCATGTCGAATATAATTTAATTTTTTTTTAAAAAAAAAAAAGAGAAGAAAAAAAGAAGAAGTAAATGTGAAAATAATAATAATAATAATAATAATAATAGAAAACATCAACATCAGCAGCAACATTTTTGTTCTTCCAAAGGTCGCAAGACACCCTTTGGAACTTAAGACCTTTGTTGCTGAACAGAGATGGAAGACCTCAATATGGTGTTAGCTTTGGCTACAAAACTGGCACTACAATACTGTTATTTGGCTCTTTTTTCCTGATCACGAAATGAAAATTTGGAGGATGTCAACTGCTACACTTGGTGATCTGGTCCTATAAATCAATTGCTTGTTGGGCTCCCTACATCAGGTGATTCAGCATTCTCAATCTTCTCAGCCGCTGTAGCAGCTGCTGATGCGGCCTTGTCCAAACCCAACTTTTGCAGCTCATTTAAAAAACCATCAACATCGGCGGTATTAATTTTATACAGGCTGTGGGCAGGGCCTGGGAATGAACCATTTGTTACTTCTTCCTTGTACTCTGAAAGAGCCTTGTTAATGACATCTCCAACTTGCCCATACTGCTTGCAGAATTTGGGGGTTACTTGCAAAAGATAAAGCAGTTTTTGTTTTAGTGGGACATATAGCATATGAAGAACATGAGATTGTTAAGCAAGAGTGGCAACAATGGAATTGACCTTGGCATGATGTGGGTGTTGCATCATTCCTAGTAGATCATGGTAAACTAACACCTGCACTAGAAAGAGATTTTTAGTAGTGTCCTGAGCTGCCAATAACACAAATTCAATTTATGTGAAATAAGAAGAAAAAAAGCATGCATGACACATGGGCGTAAGTTTATTATTAATAAAATAAGAGACATAAAACGTAGTCTTTTAATTGCAATTTAATAATTGGATGAATACTACTACAGATGAGAATAAGCAGAAAGTAGTGAAATACATAGAGGTTCTCTGTCCTCGAAACAAAATAAAAAATAAATGAATTCTACCAATGGATCAATATCTGGAAAAATTATTAACAGATCACAATTGCCCTTCAAACACAGCTTATAAAGAATTTTCCATTTTTATTGTCCACCTATCATTTTCCAGTAATTCTTACCTCTATTGTAAACAATTTTATCGACATAACATTTCTTTTATATGGTTGTTTAATCATGTCTTAAATGAGCTTTTCCACCAGAACATACATAAACAAATAAAGAAGTGCTAAACTTTCTAGTGTCAACATATACCGTGTGATGTGTGTTCCTGACTCATATCAAAGGTAACTCAAGTGCGTGTACGAGAGCAATAGGCAGAAGAAATTACATCTAGGTTCTTACAACAGCTAAAATGAGTTCTAAGCCCAATAAGATACCCACATACTTCTCCAACTGCCAAGTGCCCCTCCAAACTTCTATCAGAAAGTACAAGGCGTATGCGTCTTTCGAGCTTTCTAAACAATTAAAACTGCTAATAAAACCAGAAAATGGTCTAGACGTTGAAAGTATAAGTTAAGTCCAATTACACGCTGGTCTTTCAATAACTTTCTTCAGGTTCAGCCTTAGAGATGCTCAATTTCTTAGAATAGAAAGGAACAAGGAGATATTTGAAGATGAGGTTAGGAAGTCCTTTTCAAAACATTTCTAGAAACTGAGAATGTTTGGCTTGTGAACCATAAACCAGTAAATGCCTAAGCTTATATGCCCTCAATTTTATTGAATGCCTATGGTAGGGCCATTTCCCAAGCTCTATTTGGTGGAATCATAAATTATAAATGCACGTAGATTCCAATTATTGTAATTTTGAAAATTCCAAAAATCTACACATATTGCTGCAAGAAAGTAAATTTTCATTTAATCTGCCACAAGTTTTAAGACAATTGCTTGCACATAAAAGAGCTCTTAAAAAAAGAGCTCTGGAATTGTGATGGATTTTATGTGATGTTTGGTGTTAATTTTTTTTTTTTAAACCTTGTCACATATTAAAGTTTTATATCATCACTCATAATTCAAAGGCTATCTTTCTTTGATATCAAGCAAACCCCAGAAATAATTTCTAATGGGTACAACAACAAGATCAACACATATAGAAATACAAAGAAGGCACTGGGAGGCCTCTTAGGCTTGTTGGGTCTTTCTTAGCCAACTTTTCCTTCTTGGCTTGCCACCCTTATCTGCCTTAGTGGCAGCTTTTCTCTTCCCGACCGTTCTGAAAAGAAGAGATATATATGATCTGTCATTATAATATTCCTGTTACCAGTATATCCACCATTAAATATAACGATTAGATGCATATAGAACTTATTTGACTCGACCTTGAAACTTCTGGTCAAGATCATAACATTAAACAGAGTCATTCACATTAATGTAAACACCAAAAAAAAAAAAAACAAAAAAAAACCCACAAAGATGCAACTACAACCACCAAAATGTTACACAAACTTAGCAAACCTGTCGTCAACTGGCTTCAACGCCTCCTTTGGGACCCTGATTGGTGCCCCCTTACCCTTGGCAGCCTTCATTGGTACAATTGAATGCCTTAAAAAGTAAAATAGCCTTAGATTAGAACCCAAAATCTACACAGTAATTTGTTTTAAGACCAATTTAGATCCCAAAAAAGTTAAACAAGACAAATATTCATGATAAAGCCATACAGGTCAACGCAACACACACACACACAAACATAGAGATTAATATTAACCTTATAAAGACAAAATCAAGCATTTCTTAAAAAAAAAAAATGAAATAGAAAAACTAACAAACAAACAAAATAAGGAATTGAATCGATTAAAATAATCACAGAGAAACAGAATAGATAAAAAACGAATAATTAAAGTGATTGATTCTAGAAAAATTATTCCAGCAAACTATTTTTCAATAACTAAACAGACAGAATCACAGATTTGAAGCTCAAATAAGAAACAATCAACAATCAAATTAAACTTCATAAACAAAATCATATACACACACACACACACACACACATATATATATGCAATTTGTATAGATAAAAAAAGAGAGTAGAGAAACGAAACATACCTTGAAGATCGGCGATCTCGCGGTGACAGTGAGGAACAGAACAGAGCTCAAGAGGAGAATCAAACAACAGAACAACAATTTCTGAACATCATGAGCGGCAATTTCTGAAGGCACATGCACAAATACCTTCTGGCTTTTCTGAGTAGCATTCTGCAAACATATCCAACTGTTAGATAAACTTCCAAGCAGATTTGGAGACATTCTGCTGGGAATGACAAGCTTTAACCATTAAAGCATCTCAGTTAAGTCAGTCATGCATTAGTAATTACCACGTAAATCACTGAATGATTAAAAATTATGATTGAAATGAAAAACTAGATGGTTATTTTACCTCTTTAACCTCTTCAACAGCATAGTAAGCTTTAGTTGGAATTCCCATCTCCTTAGGCTCGACATCAATTATGACCAAGACAGGATTGGGAACGTAGCTGCAATACCACCAGTAAAAATTGCACAAAAGTGCAAGAAGGCCAAGAAATTATTATAGACAACAAAGTGAATTCTAAAGGTAAAACAAACATTCAATTTGCGAAGAGACATGTTATACATATTGTTGCTTTCAAAATGCTACATGCCACCATAAAAGCCTGTTTCCCTTGATAATCCACGGACAAAATTGAGAGATATGGTGCCAAGATGACAGATACATGACCAGCTTGTAAGAGAGTTTATTGTGGGACAAACCACAATACACATTGGGTAAGGCTTGTGATTAGACAGCTGATTAGAAGTCATTATGGACCAAATCACAATACACTTGATCTCACACAAATGTCTCATAACCTGAAACCCAACAAATCATGTCAATGGAATTACTTTACATAACAATTTCAATATGCTACTTTTTTAACACATCCATACACACAGAGTATGGTTCAGTAGAGCATTATAAAAGTAACAGTTGAATGATCTTTTCATTTTCAAAATCATGACTCATGAGAATAGATCTTATGAAGAATTAAAGAAACAGGTGGTGGGGATAGGGGTGAGAAGAGAAGAGAAGAAATCATGAATATGGGCAATTGGAAATTACCGATCTGAGGGATAATCTTCAATGTGGGATATGTTGATGGATGGAATATGGGAAATCTTGTGCCATTCTTGGCCGCTTTCCCATGCACATCTTTCCTCTACATGGGGGCAATCTCTAATTTTGTATAAAAATTTCGGTAATATTTCCTTTTTTTTTCCTAATGAAAGGTGATATTTTTGCCAATCAAGAAAAAAAAGACACAAAAAGGTGGTATTTTTTTTCTAACAAAGTTACATGAGAGAAAGGTTTTGGTTACCAAAGTCTGATTTGTTCGATTTGTTTAAAATGCATTGCACCAGATCTGGTACATATATATGTACCAATTAGTTCGGTTTTAGGAGAATTTGATCATATGATCGAAAATCTAAAATAAATAACAAATAAATGTAGTTGCTTTTTGTAGCATGACCAATTCGAAAGTCCAAATATTAGACTTAATTTAACATAGCAAAAAAAATTGATCAAATTTTCAACAGGTATTAATTCAACTAAACATTTCAAATACATATATATATATATATATATAAGTTTTCTTCCAATTGAGTATCAGTTGATCTACAAAATCATCAAATAATCATCAAACGTGTTTTGGCTACCTTAACATCAATGCAAATGCCAAACTTAAAAACTTCACAAAATCGAAATTGAAAATCAATGTACCTTCTTCGTGTGCATCATCAAGCCATTGCAAGTTTTTTTTTTGCGTTTATGTCTTAATAATCTATTGGGTCTCAATTAATTTCAAAAGAATGCTTCTATTATTTGTTTCCATTTCTAAATGAAGATTAATGTTTTTTGCAGCTATCATATCAAATTGTTGATGCACTAATTTGGCTTGGAATATGGGACATTATAAATGAGTTTAGGAAGAAAAAATTGAAGCTGAGACCTGTGACATATTTAAGTGGTTCTTATAGTTCCCCAGATGTACCTTATGGATATCTTTGGAGTCCTCATCTTGTTCCCAAACCGAAAGGTCAATTCCCTGTTATCCATTATATTGCTGTTTATTGAAGGAGTACTGTAGTGTCAAGTCTGCACATGTATTTGTAACTTATTTATTAGTTTCTGTCCGGTGGCAAATTTCTGGAGTTTTTTTTGTTACATTTGATGCTAGAGATACTTTGGTATACTAATAGTTGCTATTTTTTTCTTTTAGCTCATATTATTCTTGTTCTTTTTCTTTTTCATTTTTCTTTCTTTTTTTTTTAATTTTAATTAAATTTATCTTCCATCTTTGTTGCTTCTTCTTCTTCTTCTTCTACTACTACTGGTGTTACTACCACTACTACTACCTTTGTAAGTTTGTAACCTCATATTCAACCAGTTCTGAATGCAAAATGTTTCATTCTACATTTATTAATGTTGTTATGTGAGAACATGTTACATATTGATAGATCAAGCTTCATTGGTAAAAAGAACTGAACAAAAAGCTGCTTATGATTAGCTTTATGGTTGGGTTGGGAAAAGGAAAGCGTGTAGATAGAGTCCTATAATAGGCAGTGGAAAGGTTTTGAGGTTAGTAGACGAAGTGGGGCTGAAATTAGATCCGATCTTTAAAGTGGCAAGTTGTTGGAAATTTTGGAGAGCATTTATAATTGATTTTACAGGCAATACAAAATTTTTTCTGTGAGAACTATCAAAAGAAGCACCATCAGTATTTCTCTTGTGGGGAATTAGGTTCTTCTGATAAATTGTTTGGTGCAAAGGTACGAGTTCTTCTGGAAAATTGAACTAATATTTAAATGTTGACTGTACATTTTCCCCATTGGATCTTCATAGAATTCTTTTTGGTTAAGTTTAGCTATTATCATTATAAAAATTGAAGGTATTCCATCAAGAGCAAAATTTAGCCACTTAGTGTTTCTAGAGCAACATTTAAAATAATCCTCTTGGTTAAATTTCAACGAATATTTTGAAATGAGATAGAATAATTATTTTAAATTATTAATGAGTCAATCAATCCCTGGAGATGCTGTGTGAAGTCATATTGGATGATTTTGTGTTGCATAATTCTCCTCCCCTCCTATTTTTCTCCTCTTTTATGGTATTTATTTTCCATGAAACATATATCTTAGTCTTCATAATGCTGTCTGTATGCTTGGCTCGTTTGATCTGCTAGCTTGAGTTCCATTAGGGTGTCTAGATGCTTCTTGGGATAGTTTGGTCTTGCCCTTTGTATTTTGGATCACAACTTTGGTTTTATGTTCCTTATTCTTCATGCTATTTTGCTTATTTTATTTGCTTTGTAAAGAGATTTTGACGGTGATCAAATTTTTTATTTTTTTCTATTTGTTCTAGAAGTCTGGTTGTTGGGTTGTATTTTTGTTTTTCTTTTCTGTTTTTCTTTTCCCAAAGACAGATTAGAAATTTGAGTTTATTTATGAGTCTATTTACTTCTGTTTTCCTGATTTGATTTTAATATGCATTTCTGGATTACTAATTCCTTCTAGTTTTCTAATAACTGATTAGAATTCCATAATTGAGGTGAATATATTAGCATGCCAATTCACATTTCTATAGTGAGTTATGTTGCTTGACTTTCTTGACCTCATTGTGAGCAGTGATTGGATCTGCATCTGATTTGCCTAAAATTTTACCTTCTAAATACCTTGTGGGTCTTTCCCTGTGTTTCTGCAACATGTGGTCTCTTTTACCATCCACATTGTGTTGCAAAACTGCTCCACCGTAAGAGTGCAGCTGAGGCAGAAGAGCTTCGGAAGAAGATAGCTGCTGGGGAATTTTTCACATGTCCCATTCATAAATGCGTTATCTGCAAACTGGGTGAAAATAAGTTGGAACCTGATTTGCAATTTGCAGTTTGCAATTTGCAGTTTGCAGACATTGTTCCAAGTCGCACCACAGAAAATGCTTGCCGGGGTAACCATTTAAATGTTTCCACAATGTTCCACTTGTTTCTGAATGCTATCATGAAAACGTATGGTCTAATTTAACTACTAGTTTTCAATGGTTGATGCTTGGTTTACTTTGATCAGGAATATTACTTTTGAAGATCTGGAGGATGAGGACATCCTGCAAAGGGCTTGGGAAGGTCTTATTCCAAACCGTATTTTGATTTATTACTTGTAAGTGCCCTTATTCTTTTTCTCCTTTATTTTTTCTGCAGTGGCTTGCAAATTAATTACTTAAAATTTTCCTTTTACTAGAGAACATGAGATTGATGATGAAATTAGAACTCCAAGTAGAAACCACATAAAGTTCCCAGATGATGGACAAAATAAGGAAAGACAAGCATTAGAGCTACTCTTGAGCAAAAGGAAAGTTTTGCAGAAGGAGAGAGCTCTGGCCTCAACAGATGCTTCCAGAAAGAGAACTCTTGGGAAGGTATAGAAAGGGGTGGATTTGTCTTCAATTACCACAGTGGATGATTCTTCAAAGAACAGTGCCAGAAAATTGACTCGATCCAATTATTCAAAGAAACAGAAAGTGGGGGATATAACCAGAAAGCCTCAGAACAACACTGGCTCTACAAAAGTCAATAAGTCCTTCACTGATGGAAACAGGTTTTCCTTGGTGTGCTGATTGGTGAATTTCAGATTTTTTTGGTTTTTTTGTTTTTTTTGTTTTTTAAAGATTGGGATGAATTTTATAACTTAAATATGCTTTTTATGAACATGTACAGTCGAATTGTTATGTAAAATATTGAATTTGATGGTTTTATCAACTTTTATTCTTATTTTCTGGTATGATGTGTTTTGTACAAATTGGAATGTGAATGGAATGTAAATAACCACCTCATAGCATATTTTTATATTAATTAAATTAACAAATAAAGGAAAAAAGATGGCGTTTTTGTTCAAAACGCCACTATATACTGTGACGTCATCAATTATATTTGGCTGAATTATTTGGGCAGATTAAATAGTATATCGGCGTTTATGAAAACGTCACTATAAGCATCAGTGACGTTTATAAAACGCCTTATACCTATAGTGACGGCCGTATCAGCGATGTAATGTAAAAACGTCGGCATAGACTTTGGCGGCGTTTTTACCACTTATAGCGGCGTTTTTGCAACGCCGGTAAAGGAAATTTTTCCTGCAGTGAGGCCGGGTGACTCATCATCCTCATCTTCATTATCATCTTTTAAAAGGAGAAAATTAAATAAAAGCTTGTGGGTAGATGATGACAAAGGGAGCTCTGATTAAGGTATAAAACAAAAGAAAATGGTGGTCCTAGTTGTCTAGAATCGTCAATATTTTTCGGAGAGTTTTGAGAAAAAAAAGGAAAAAATTAATTGACTTGATTGGTGTAGATTATTAGTATATAATGTCTTGTATGTATTGAAGCTTGGAGAGATTTGTTATAGTTTTTTTTGGTGTTTTTTGGTGGGCATTGCCATTCATTACTGGCTTTGCAGATTCCCAAGGGAAGAGGATTTGGTACATATATAATTTTTGTGTGAGAAAGTGAGAGAGATTGTTTAATAGTGGAAGAGTCATGGAGTGTGAAAGAAGTGGGTGATTGAATTCAAAGTTGGTATGGATTATTGAATGAAAGGGAGAAGATGGTGGGATCATGGTAGAGGATTTGGGGTTAAAAGAGGGGAGAGAAAATCAATGGTTTAGTTAAAAATTAAAGGGTGTTGAAGATTGAAACTTTGAAGTTTGAGCTATATTATTCATCATGGGATATTATAGTCAAGCTTGTCATGATCTTCTTAGGCCACACATCATTGCTTCAACTGGAGAGCAAAAGAAGGAGAATAAAAGATGGCTTTCATGTAATTATAAACTACTGAGTGTTAAGTGTGTGTACATACTGATATATGGTGTGTTCCACACGTATTGTATTTGGATTCATCAATACAATTTTATATATTTGTTTTTTCATATCTCTCTCTATCTCTCTGTCTCTTTTTATTGTACTGTGCCATGCACGTGAATGACAATGTAGAATTTGTAGCTTTGCCATTTGTTTTCATTTAGAGGAAGAACTTTTTGAGAACTAACTGTGGAATTTTGTGAGGCATAAGCTAGACGAGTGCAGAGAAGGGCCTCACAGTTGGTCCCTCAAGCAATAAAGGCGGAGAAGTTATTCCATGCCCCAAAGGGCACGGCATGACTACTTGGTGCTCAAAATCAGATGTGATCCGTGAAAAAAGTGAGGTGCGTAAGTTTGTGTTGGTATTTGAGGAGACAACAAAATTTTATGACATAAGATCATGGCATAATTGTGTTTTTCAAAATCAATGAGATCTACAAATTTGTATTGATAATTGAGGAGACAACAAGGGATTGTGACGTTTACTGATTGGTCAACACATGGTACCCATAGACACTGAATAATTTTCTGTATGGTTTCATTTCAATGAATACACTCCTTAGCCAGTGAGCTGACCCATGACTGTTGTCTATGGGCCAATTTGGCAATACAGTTAAAAGTCAAAAGTCAACTTTTAACTTATTTTGAGTCACATTATCTTTTATATTTTTTTACATGTTTTTCCAAAAAAAATTCGAAAAATTAACTTTTTAATTATCTTTTCAAAACACTCCTATGAGCCTTGGCCTCTTGGATTGCAGACAAACATGTATCTCTATCTCTCAGGTTAATACCTAACATTCAAAGCCCCATCCTCCATTATTCATTGATTTATATCATCCATGTCAGACCTTGATTATGAAGCAATGGAATGCTCCTTTCAAATCTCAGTAACAATACAAACACCAATTATTATAGAAAAGTACAAAATGCAGTATTGCTGATGAGCCCACACTCCACAAGAATTCCATTCACTTTTCTGCCAAATAATTTGTGTTTATAGTATATGTTTGTTAGGAATTCATGATACTTAAATGGGATTGATGACACGAAACACGAAAAAAAAAGAAAAAGAAAAAAAACAAACACACAAAAGATAAATCACACGTGCAAACAAAGAATACAAAGTTTACATGATTCATTTCAAACTAAGGTTATGTTCATAGCTGTTGTGGTTTTTAGTATTGTTGAAGGTATACTATAAATAATAACATTATCACCATATCTAAGCTTACTAGTTGGGCTAAAAAACTCTGGTACTGATGATTTAGAAAAAAAAAAAAGACAACAAATTTGTAGAGAGTAGGAAATGGGTTTGTTCAAGGGAAGGTGTAAGAGAAAAGAAATAATTGCAACATGTGGAACAGGGTAAGAACTCCTAGGGCCGAAACTAGATTTTTTTGTAGTGCCACATTTCGCGTGCGTTATGACAAGACAGTTAGGAAATATGTTGTGACCCACTTTGTAGGGGGAACACAACCATCCCTTGGCAGCACCACACTGCGTCCCTTTTCTTTGGTCACATAGGTTTGTAACAAGTGCAGACCAAGCTCAAGCAAAGGCTATACGCAATGTGGGTATGAAAACGAGTCAGATCATGGATTTTATAGTCTACCAGTCAGGGGGTTATGAGAAGGTGGGCTTTATTCACAGAGATTTGCACAATCAATTCCAAGCTGAGCGCAAAGTATAACTCGTAGAAGGGGATGCAGAGGGTGCGTTAGGATACTTATCAGCTAAATTAGAGGCAGATCCATTATTTTTTTTCAAATACAATGTCGATAAGGACAACCTATTGGACAAGATTTTCTGGGTAGATTGTAGGTCTCAAATGGATTATGCTGCATTTGGTGATGTATCGGTATTTGATACAACGTATCGTACAAATGCATATAAGAAGCCATTTGTAATTCTAACTGGCGTGAGTAACCATTTTATGACAACTATATTCGAATGTGCTTTGTTGCCTGATGAGACAATGGAGACATAGACGTGGGTGTTGGAAATGTTAATGGAGGCCATGGATGGCTACCATCATTGGTGGCTTCAGGAAACATGTCACTTGTTTGGGGAGATGTTTTGTCTTGCTTCAGCTTCTAAATTAAGTTCAGATGCTTTCTAGTGCTGATCAGTTTACTTTTGTGTAGAACTAATATAATATTTTTGTTATCCTTAGCTTTTGTGTAGTTCATTATTACTGAGACAAAAAAACTTTTGGCAATCAATAGATAATGACTGTCGTGGTACATAGATCACCTTCTATCGTGGTACATGTATACCATTTGTCGGCATACATATATGACCTTTTGTCATGGTCTATAGAAAACTTTTGTCGTAGTACATATATCACCTTTTGCGTGGTACAGATTATGATGGTAATTTGTACCATGCCAAATGGTAATTTCTCTTGGTAGTAAATGTATTTTTTGTACACGGAGGGCTTTGATTTTTGTATGATATATTTTTTATGGAATTATTATTTTAGTTTGGACAATAATTGATTTGTACGGACTTTGACATTTAAAGCTATTTATTTTTTGTATATAGATGCAAATTGTGGAATGATTGATAGTATGTATCATTTTGTTTATATACGTATTACAGGTTGCATGGAATATAGACAAGTTGTGGCGAAATTATAATTTTGTAATAAAACATAATATCATGTTTTTGGTGACTAGACAATTAGTAGCTAAAAAGAAATTGGGAAAAGACATTTGGTGACTAAAAGTTTTGTAGCAAAAAAAAAAATACACATTTGGCGACTAAAAGTTTAGTAGCCAAAAGAAAATCAAACATTTAGCGACTAAAATATTTCGTAGCTAAAAACAAAAAGCTAAAGAATAAAAACACTTTTGCCGACTAAAATTTCAGTAGCAAAAAATGTGAGACTTTAAGCGACCAAATATTTAGTAGCCAAAAGAAGAACAATTTGCTGACTAAAAATTTAGTAGCAAAAAATATGGGACTTTAGGTGACCAAATATTTAGTAGCCAAAAGAAGAACTCTTTGCCGACTAAAATTTTAGTAGCTACAAATGTGGAACTTTAGGCGACTAAAAGTTTGGTCGCCGAAAACGGTCTAATTTAATTTAATGTCTAACTTTTTGGTGACTAAAATTTTAGTCGAAAATTGTATACATTTGGCTACTAAAATAATTTTAGTCGCTAATTACCTTTACTGATATTCTTTGATGACTACTTTCGCGACCAAATAATTTAGTCGCTAAAACCCTTCGGCGACTAAAAATTTAGTCGTCAAAAGTGAAAATTCTTATAATGTTACGATTCATTAGTAAAAGTTACGACATTTTTTTAATCTTATTATGATTGTGGAGAAAAAAGTTGTGGTTATGATTCATTAGTAAAAGTTATGATTTGTACTATCAAAAGTTACGATTTGTCATGGTGAATCATAATAAAAAATGTTACGATTCAAATGTTATGACAATTAATTACAAATAACTATATTTGTTATGAGTTGTCATTATATTGTTATGATTTATAGTGTCTTTGTTATGACACTTAGGTGAATATTATGACATTGTTATGATTCATTGTAGTATTGTTATGATATTTGAAACAAAGTTATGATTCTTTCTATAACCTGTTACATGACCGGTTTAGAAGGTCACTTTTTGTGATGTGGCACAATATGGACCACACAATAAGTGCATATTATATGCCCTTTTATAAGGTGCACATTGTAGACTTTCCCATAAACTAAAGATGAATTGAAGGAAAATTGAATGAGGTTAGGTCTTAATGGCATATGAATATGTAGGCTTTGTGGGTGTTTTAGTATCGGTATCGTTTATTTACGTGGTATTTATAACTTTGTTAAACCTCATATATTGTGTTACATTATCTCTACTGGGCTGTTGGCTCACCTTACACGGGAATATCATTTTCAGGTACAGGTG